ATAAATTTTATTCCCACCCAATCACACTGTAGTACAAATTACATATTTATGATTCACTATGTGCACAGCATTAACTAACCTTTCCTCTACCAGGTAAAGGTTTTTAACTATAGTACTCCTCCCACAGAGGGGACGGAGCAACTCATCTCCCTCTCTACGTGAGGCAGTGTTCACAGAAGGCCATACAGACCTTCCTGGAGTTTCCCCATTAGAGCTAGCAGAGAATATCCTCTTACCTCTGGGGTTATGATACTAGGAAGATGCCACATTATATCTTTTTCCTCCCCCTCATTTTTTATTAAGGTATTATGTGTACATATCTTATCACATTACATCTTTTATACTGCGAAGGCAATTAAGCCAACACAGTGAAGAAAGCATGAATAAACAATAATATATCTATCATTATCTTATTAGTATTAATGTCCCCTATTATTGATAATTTGGGGATCTTTCCAATTATTTATAATTAAACACATTCTGTTCCTTTTAGAAGCCTCAATTGTACAATCAAATTTCATTTTCATGGCCCTAACCAGTTTGGCTCAGTGGATAGATCATCGGCCTGCAGACTGAAGGGTTCCAGGTTCTATTCTGTTCAAGGGCATGTACCTTGGTTGCGGACACATCCCCAGTAGGAGGTGTGCAGGAGGCAGCTGATCAATGTTTCTCTCTCATTGATGTTTCTAACTATCCCTCTCTCTTTCACTCTGAATCAATAAAAAATTATTTTCATGAAGAACATATTCAGCATAGAAAATAATGCCACAGACTTATAAGAGGTATAGTGTTTAAAAATTTATTATTAAAGATCCTCAACATTTTGTTTTCCAAGCAATAAGTTATTGGGACAACAGTCTCAGAAAAATTATCTATAACCTTGCAGCTCCTTATATGCACAATGAATGACAAAGTGAGAATCTTTATACTAAACTCACAAATCCCTAAAGCTACCTTGTTTCCCTGAAAATAAGACAGTGTCTTATATTAATTTTTGCTCTCAAAGATGCACTAGGTCTTATTTTCAGGGAATGTCTTATTTTTCCATGAAGAAGAATATGGTACACATTTATTGTTAAAGGAAATTTATTACCTGTATATGATACGGTAGCACGGTAGTTGTCAACACAAACCAGACAAACTGTGAATCCTACAGTATCAAGAATTTACTCATTTATTCAATGACAATCATGTCATCATCTTCTGAAACATCATCATAACAATCCAATTCCTGAATTTCCTGGTGAATTTCTTGTGACTCCTTTTCTTTCAGAATCAGTGGACCAAATCTCTCATGTTTAGCCTAGGGGGCCTTATATTTCACTCAGAAGGAAACCTGTAAGTAGGTCTTATTTTCGGGGAAACACGGTACTCTTTTGTCCTGGTCCTATATCAATCTATCAGTTTTTTCAAACTAGATGATATACTCTGTTCACATCAATACAGTTTTGTTTGTGTGGTTTTTTTTTTACATTTCTTTATTGATTAAGGTATCATATTCAATTCAGTTTTTTTTTAGTTTTTTTTTTTATATTTTATAGGATATTTTTTAGAGTAGAAGGGAGGCAGGAAGTGGAAGAAGGGAGGTGAAGAGAGTAAGACAAAAATGTCAATGTAAGAGAGACATATTTATTGGTTGCCTCTAGCATATGCCCCAATCAGGGCGGGGTATCAAACCTGCAACCCAGGTGCACGCTCTTGAGCAGGAATCAAACCCAAGACCTTTCCGTTCATGGGCCAACACTCTAACCAGTGAGCCACACTGGTCAAGGCAAAATAGGTATAATTTGATTCATTCACACCAAATGGCTATTCAATTCAGTTTTTAAAAAACAGAAGTTAGTGACCAGTCAGTGTGGCCCCATCTTTGAATATTGACCAATGAACCAGGAGGTCACAGTTTGATTCCCGATTAGGGCACATGCCTAGGTTGCAGGCCCAGTGCATGATTCTCTCACATCACTGATGTTTCTATTTCTCTCTCCCCCTCTGAAATCAGTAAAAATATATTAAAAATATAAAACAAAGTTATTTTTTAATTTGCTAAATCATGTTCTAAGATCTTTGTAACATGAGAAACTAATGTTCAAGCCATCATTTTCTGCTGATTTTCAAAAAATGTTGGCAAATAAGAGATTCTGTAAGATATCCTATAGCTAAAACTCTCACTTCCCAAAGAAGTAGACAAAAAAAGGTAAAATTTTTGGGCATTAAAACTGCTATACAGTAAAACAAGAAAAACAATAGTAGTAAACATTTCTTCACTAATCACAACTTTAAGCTTGACTAAGGCAATATAATAAGGCTCAAAGCTTGCAAATACAAATTTAACTAAGTGGAATATTTTACCTTTTTTGACAATTCCCCCCCTTTGTAATACATTTAAATGCAAATGTACAATGCCCTGCCTATTATAGGATCTACTAAAAAAAAACTTTTGGTATGAAGTCAATCTGTTTTAAACCCTTTCTAAAAATATTATAGAAACATTAAGCAATTTCATGCTAGAATGACTGGACTATAGAATCACAGTACAATGAACTCATTAATGGCCTTATCAACTTAATGAATGGCACAATAGGTTTTAGTATTATTACACTATCAATCTATAAATCTGTAAAGTAGCATTGGATTAAAAGACATTTACCATCTCCTACTTCTCCATTCCCTGCCACATAAATTCCTATGCTTAGAAAGTGCCTGCTTCCGCCTATAATAAAAATAAGAAAGATCTTAGAAGTCAAGGATATTGAATTTCTTTTATGTTTGTTTGTTTCTTTTTTTTTTTTTAACCAAGTTTATTCTCCTTTCTCTTAGATCTTAGGTATTATACAAATCATTATTTACTTTCTTGGATTAACATTCTATAGTTTTAGAAACAGATTTTTACTTTTTCCAATGTAACTACCTATTTCCATTATATTGGGCAAGAACACAGGTACCTTAGGCATTAAAATTTATCAAGCAACAAACTATAAAATATATGCTGAATATATCTATGGTTGGAAATCTTCATGACTTTAGTTAGCATTTTGACTAAAATGAGGAAACAAACAAAAAAAAGACCCAGGGAAATAAGTATTAAAACAAAACAGCAAACTTCCCTTTTAGCAACATGTAAGTAATCTTTTTAAAAAATGCATAATGGTTTAAGAATATTAATTAAGGTAGTAAAAAATAAATTACTAAGTAAAATTTATGCCACCAAAAGTTTCACTAGTAGTAAACAAAGCATAAACGCTTTCACTACATGACATCTGAGTGGGAACCCAGAATGATATCTATGCAAGTGAGATATGGGGAGAGGAACAACTATTCGAAAGAATGCTGGGGTAAATTTCTTCATTTAAGTAAGATCTCACTTTTATGGTTAAGAAGTTTTCAAAAAAGACAAAACAACTATACATTCAACTTTATGCTGTACATGTAGTACAGGCCTTAGGCTTCAGAAACATAGTCAAGTTAAACAATGTATGTTTAATTAAAATTCTTACAAAAATGGAGTACTTCATGGGACAATAGGATTCTCACTGCCTTCCTTCCATTATATGCTTAATGTAGATGACTTTCAAGTTAATCATAGTGATAATAAGTCATTTATGTATTGAAAACTATTGATAAGACATAAGCAGAAAATTTAAAAACACAAACTAAAAATACAAGCCCATTTAAAAGAAACACTTCCATATTTACAAATACAGTAATATAAACATGTCATAAAAATGCCTAGCATATCACAAGTAACATGCTCTTAATAAACTCAAGGTATTGCCTACCACCGGTTTGGTTTGTACAAACTAAAAATGTAAGGCAGAAATAATAGCCATTAGCAAAACTTCACATCTAACTCTAACGCTGGTTAATACCTCTACTATGACTTTCAAGTAACAGTAAGCACCCCCTCTCCCTTTTGCAAATGTGTCTTCTTTTAGAATGGAAAGATTAATTGGAAATTACAAAGAAGTTTTACACTCATACAAAAATTATTACGGGACTTAAAATGTAAGAGGAGCTAGACCTCCCTAAACTTTACCTTAATGCAGCATCACTGTAATATACATAAACCATCACAACCCCCCATCCCCCCAACAAACAAACAGAAAAGCCAGCTGACATTGATTCTTGGGCCACTTTATCTTATGTTGGGTAGCAACCTGAAATGTTAGTGAATTAAAAACACATACACACACACACACACACACACACACACACACACGTGTATATAAATTGAACACTGAAAAGTTAAAAGTCACCATTCGATTGCTTTATGTCTTCACTACTGATATGTTTAACTTTGAATAACGGGAAATTTCTGTCAATTCCCCCGGTTACCCTCTCCCCTCATCAAAACAAACAAAAACAGAACCTCCTCCCCAGCTTTTCTCCTTAAACACAACTAGTTCAACTACTTTTTCCCCCCAGCTAAATCTCCACGGCACTTTTACCCTTACACCAAAAACGAACCCTGGGCAGGACTAATTAAGCTATGTTTCCAGGAGACTTATAAAGGCCGTTTCATGGTCAGGCCTGGGAGTAGTAAGGGCCCTCAGCTTTCAGACCCTTCTCCCGGCATTTGCACCCGCTCAGTTCAAGGGGGAAGAGGGGGCCCACCCCGCAACGCTGGGCCCGAAGGGCAGAGCCGGGGCCTAGACCCCCTCAAGGCCCCCGCGGCGGCTCGCGCGGTGGGGGAGGAGGTGGCCGCGCCGAGAACCGGCCGCCGGAGGCCGGAGGCGCCCGAGTCAACGAAGGAGGCGCCCGAGCTCGGAGCGCAAAGCCCCAGACCCCCCAAAGCCGCCTCCTCTCCCATCCCCTCCCCCCTGCAGGAGAAGCAGGGCCCCCGCTAGTGCGGGAATGGGGAGGAGGTAAACCCGTCCTGTCACTGCACCTGGAGAAGTTGGAAGGAGCACATGTCTGTCGGGCAGAGGCCGCGGCCGCCCCTGCCCTGGCCCCTCCGGCCAGAAACCCCCTCCCGCCCCAGAGGTCCGTCCGCTGCGCCTCACCAGGTCGTAGTCCTCCTCATCATCGCACATGAAATCATCTTCCATGTCAGACATCTTGGCCGGGAAAGGGGGAGGGGGAGGAGAAATTGGAGACAACCTCCTCCCACAATCCTCCGCGGCTCAGAGGCGTCACTCCCCGCGTCTCCTCGCCTTCCCGTCACTCTCAGAGGAGTTGAACGTTTCCTTCCGGAACTAACGCGCTCGGCGCGGAGAGGATTCGCTACGGCGCCAAAAGGGAGCGCACCGCCCCCTCTTCCGGCGAAACGGTTGGCGCCTTAGCAACCAAACCTAGCAACTGGGGCGTAGCCTGGTGCCGCGGCGCTCAGCCGAAGGGACTGGGAAACACGTTGAGCGGTTTCCCGCCTCCTAGGCTAGGGGACGGTCTCCTCCGTTTCCCGAGACCCTGGAACCACCTCATTCTGGTGAAAATAAGAGGCAGCCTAGGGCAGCCTTTCGAGGACAAAAGGGTGACATGCCCGTCGTGTATGACAGGTAGTGTGATGTCTGCCATCATTATTTACATTCCTGTAGCCCGCACGTGGTGGTGGGTGTTCCTGTGAATTTTGGAAACTTTCTCAGCGATATCGTTTACACGAAATGTTTGTTTTATTTGTAGTCGGCAAAAACGATTCTGTGGATATCCCAAATTAGTTAAACATCGATCAGCTGAGCCGCCCCAGATCTTATTCAGTTGTTTAACCAATTGTAAACTGACCTTTACTGCCCTTAGGACCACATGAAGGTAGCGGCGAGCGACTGTTTTTTTTAATATACTGTATTGTACAAAATCATGAGCATAATTCAAATTAAGAAAATGAAATAAAAGGGGAAAAACTGCTTCTCAAACAGCACATTCCATATTAACTTCCAGTTCTGCCCACTTAAGTCCGAAAATTTTATATAATTATAGCACAGATATAATTTCGGATACTTTTTGTTCAATACCTCGTTATGTAACAGCGTAAGACCTGTGTACAATATATCATTGAGAATTGTTTTAATGGTTGTTTAATCTCTTTTGAATGAACCAATGCAACTTAATTTACTTAAGCTGATATTTTGATACATTTAGAATTTTTCTTTTTTTCTTTTTTCTTTTTTTTTTTTTTACATATTTTAATGATTTTTTTTTTGCCCCCCTCCCTCCCCCATATCCCCTCCCTCCCCATAGTTTTATGTCCATTGGTTGTACTTATATGCATGTATACAAGTCCTTCGGTTGATCTATTATCTCCCCCAGATCCTCCTCCCCTCCCCGCTGTAATTTGACAATCTGCTTGTTGCTTTACTGTCTCTATATCTATCTTTTGGTTCATCAGTTTATAATGCTCTTTATTATCCACAAATGAGTGAGGTCATGTGGTGTTTCTCTTTCATTGATTGGCTTATTTCACTCAGCATGATGTTCTCCAATTCCATCCAGGTTGCTGCAAATGATGAGAATTCCTTCTTCTTTATGGCAGCATAGTATTCCATTGTGTAGATGTACCATGGTTTTTGGATCCAATCATCTGCTGACGGGCACCTAGGCTGTTTCCAAATTCTGGCTATTGTAGATTGTGCTGCTATGAACATAGGGGTGCATATATCCTTTCTGATTGGTGTTTCTAGTTTCTTGGGATATATTCCTAGGAGTGGGATTACTGGGTCAAATGGGAGTTCCATTTTCAGTTTTTTGAGGAAACTCCACACTGTTCTCCACAGTGGTTGCACCAGTCTGCATTCCCACCAGCAGTGCACGAGGGTTCCTTTTTCTCCGCAACCTCGCCAGCACTTGTCGTTTGTCGATTTGTTGATGTTGGCCATTCTGACAGGTGTGAGATGGTACCGCATTGTTGTTTTGATTTGCATCTCTCGTATAATTAGTGACTTTGAGCATGTTTTCATGTGCCTTTTGGCCTTCCTTCTGTCTTCTTTTGAAAATATTCTATTTAGGTCCCTTGCCCATTTCTTAATTGGATCATTCATCTTCCTTTTATTTAGTTGTATCAGCTGTCTGTAGATGTTAGAGATTAAACCTTTATCAGTGGTGTTATTTGCAAATATGTTCTCCCACACCGTGGGCTTTCTTGTTGTTTTGTTGATGGTTTCTTTTGCTGTAAAAAAGCTTTTTATTTTGATGTAGTCCCATTTGTTTATTTTCTCTTTAGCTTCCATTGCCCTAGGGGCAGTATCAGTGAAGAAGTTCTTTTGGCATACGTCTGAGATTTTGCTGCCTGAGGATGCTTCTAGTATTTTTATGGTTTCCCGTCTGATGTTTAAGTCCTGTATCCATTTTGAGTTTATTTTTGTGTATGGTGTAAGTTGGTGATCTAGTTTCATTCTTTTGCATGTGTCTACCCAATTTTCCCAACACCATTTATTGAAGAAACTGTCTTGACTCCATTGTATATTCGTGCCTCCTTTGTCAAATATTAATTGAGCATATTGATTTGGGTTGATATCTGGGTTCTCGATTCTATTCCATTGATCTATATGTCTGTTCTTGTGCCAGTACCAGGCTGTTTTGAGAACAGTGGCTTTGTAATACAGTTTGAAGTCCGGTATTGAGATCCCTCCTACTTTACCCTTCTTTCTCAGGATTGCTGTGGCTATTCGGGGTCTTTTATTGTTCCAAATGAACTGTTGGAGAGTTCTTTCTAGGTCAGTGAAATATGCCCTTGGTATTTTAATGGGGAGTGCATTGAATCTATAGATTGCTTTAGGAAGTATGGACATTTTGATGATGTTGATTCTACCAATCCATGAACATGGTATGTTCTTCCATCTCCTTACATCATCCTCTATCTCTTTTTTCAATGTCGTGTAATTTTCTGCATATAGATCCTTTACTTCCTTAGTTAAATTTATTCCTAGGTATCTTAATTTTTTTGGTGCGATGGTAAATGGAATTGCTTTTTTAGTCTCTGTTTCTGTAGTTTCACTGTTGGTGTATAGAAATGCCATGGATTTCTTGGCGTTAATTTTGTATCCTGCTACATTGCCAAATTCATTTATTAAGTCAATTAGTTTCTTAATGGAGTCTTTTGGGTTCTTTATGTACAATATCATGTCATCTGCAAATAAGGATAACTTTACTTCTTCTTTTCCAATTTGGATGCCTTTTATTTCGTCCTCTTGTCTAATTGCAATGGCTAGTACTTCCAGTACTATGTCAAACAGGAGTGGCGAAAGTGGGCATCCCTGTCTTGTTCCTGTTCTTAGAGGGAATGGTTTTAGTTTTTGCCCATTGAGTATAATGTTGGCTGTGGGTTTATCATATATAGCTTTTATTATGTTGAGGTATGATCCTTGTACTCCCACTTTGTTAAGAGTTTTTATCAGGAAAGGGTGTTGGATTTTATCGAATGCTTTTTCTGCATCAATTGATATGACTATATGATTTTTATCTTTCAATTTGTTTATGTGATGTATCACGTTTATTGATTTGCGGATATTGTACCATCCTTGCATTCCTGGAATAAATCCTACTTGGTCATGGTGTATGATCTTTGTGATGCTCTGCTGGAGCCGATTTGCTAGGGTTTTGTTGAGGATTTTGGCATCTATGTTCATGAGGGATATTGGCCTGTAATTCTCTTTCATTGAGTTGTCTTTATCTGGTTTTGGTATTAGGGTGATGCTGGCTTCATAGAAGGAGTTTGGAAGTGTTCCTTCCTCTTGAATTTTTTGGAAAAGTCTGAGGAGGATAGGTTTTAGTTCTTCCTTGAATGTTTGGTAAAACTCTCCTGTGAAGCCATCTGGCCCTGGGCTTTTGTTTGCTGGAAGCTTTCTGATGACTGTTTCAATTTCTTCCCAAGTCACTGGTCTATTGAGATTTTTAGATTCTTCCTGATCGAGTTTTGGAAGTTTGTATTTTTCTAGGAATATGTCCATTTCCTCCAGGTTGTTCAGTTTGTTGGAATAGAGTTGTTCGTAGTATTTTGTAACAATCCGTTGTATTTCGTTGGGGTCTGTTGTTATTTCACCTCTTTCATTTCTGATTTTGTTTATTTGGGTCCTCTCTCTTTGTTTCTTGGTTAGCCTGGCTAGAGGTTCATCTATCTTGTTTATTCTTTCAAAGAACCAGCTCTTGGTTTTGTTGATCTTATGTATTGTTTTTTTGGTCTCTATGTCGTTTATCTGTGCTCTGATTTTTGTTATTTCCTTCCTTCTGCTTACACTGGGCTTTTCTTGTTGCTCCTTTTCTAACTCTTTGAGTTGTAGAGTTAGATCATCTGTTACCCCTTTTTCTAGTTTTTTGCAATAGGCTTGTAAGGATATGAACTTCCCTCTCAAGACTGCTTTTGCTGTGTCCCATAGATTTTGGATTGTTGTGTTTTCATTGTCATTTGTTTCCAGGATGTTTTTAATTTCTTCCTTGATTTCTCTGGTAACCCAGTCCTTGTTTAATAGCGTGCTGTTTAGTCTCCATGTGTTTGATTTCTTTGGATTATTTTTATTGTAGTTAATTTCCAGTTTTATGCCATTATGGTCTGAGAAGATACTTGATATGATTTCTATCTTCTTGAATTTGAAGAGACTTTGCCTATGACCCAAAATGTGGTCTATCTTTGAGAATGTCCCATGTGCACTTGAGAAGAATGTATATTCTGTGGCTTTGGGGTGGAGTGTTCTGAAGATGTCAATTAATTCCATCTGGTCTAGTGAGTCACTTAGGATCGATATTTCTTTGCTGTTTTTTTGTTTAGATGATTTGTCGAAGGGTGACAGTGGGGTATTAAAATCTCCTACTATGATTGTATTGCTATTAATCTCTCTCTTAATGTCCTCCAGCAGTTTTTTTATGTATTTGGTTGCTCCTGTATTGGGTGCATATATATTTACCAGGGTTATTTCTTCTTGTTGGATTGTTCCCTTTAGTATTATGAAATGGCCTTCATTATCTCTTATTATGTCCTTCACTCTGAGATCTAATTTGTCAGATATAAGTATTGCTACCCCAGCTTTTTTTTCATTTCCATTTGCCTGGAAAACTTTTTTCCATCCCTTCACCCTCAGTCTGTGTGCATCTTTTTTTCTGAGGTGGGTTTCTTGTAGACAACAGATGTATGGGTCTTGTTTTCTTATCCAATCTGTTACCCTATGTCTTTTGATTGGAGCATTTAATCCATTTACATTTAAGGTTATTATTGATAGGTACACATTTGACGCCATTTTTATTCTATACCCGTGTTCCTTCTTCACTTCCTATTTCTTTATTTTTACAGTAGACCCTTTAGCATTTCTTGCATTACTGGTTTGGTGGAGATAAATTCCTTCAGTCTTTTTTTGTCTGTGAAGCTCCTGATTTCCCCTTCAATTTTGATTGATAGCCTTGCTGGGTACAGTATTCTTGGATTCAGACCCTTCCTTTGCATGACTTTGTATATTTCATCCCATTCCCTTCTGGCCTGGTAAGTTTCTGTTGAGAAATCAGTTGCTAGTCTGATGGGGGTTCCTTTGTATGTAACTTTCTGTCTCTCTCTGGCTGCTTTTAAGATTCTTACTTT